CACTTTTGATCAATTTAATGCATCCTTGCGGAATAAAAGTATAACATCTTAAAGTAAAATCTTAGAGTAATAAACTTACTCCAAACTTTTGAATGGTAGTGTATCAAGGTTTCCACAAACATATGAAGTAGCACAACGGTTTTCAAAAAATAAAATAAAATAAAATAAAAATAAAGAACAACAAAATTAAAACAAAGTAATAGATGAAACAAAGCACTTAAAAATGCATTGACAAGAGATGGGACAGTTGAGAATTAAATAAAGCAACAAAATAAATAAAATAAAATAGAAAGATGGATTAATTAATACTAATTTCAAACAACAACAAAAAAACAACACACCAATGTGACTGTTTAAAATTCAACCAATGTTGAAAATTCAAGTAAATAAAATAAATTAAAATAAAATAATAATGGAAAAATACTAAAATAATTTAAAAATAAATAAATTAATTAATTAATTAATTAAATAATGAAATTTAATGGTGAAAAATTCAAGATAAAAGAAGAAAGAAAGAAAGAAAGAAAGCCAATACCCATGGAAATAAATAAATAAATAAAATACATTTAAGTTAAAACAAACTAATATGTGAGATGTGACGACTGAAAAGTCAATAAAACAAAAAAAATTTAATTCCACACAAAAAAATATTTAAATTATTTAAAAACAAACAAACAAAAAATAAAATAAAATGCAGCTTTGATCACAGGAATAAATGACATTTTAACAGATATTCACACAGAAAACAGCTGTTTTAAATTGCAATAACATTTCACATTTTTTCTGTATTTTTAATCCAATAAAAGCTGAGCAGAAGAGACGTCTCTGAGAAACTACAAGAGTCACGATTATTCCAGACGGCTGTGTGTCGTTCATCAGCCTGTAATAAGATCTCTGGTGTGAAAAGATGTCTGCCGTTTACTAATAGATGGAGCCGCTCGCAGGGAGCGCACTAATAAAGGACGAGCGCGTATGAAACATCGCGTAATGCACCTCTGATGAATTCACTGAATAATACAGACAGCAGACCAGCTCTTCATGTCACTGTGAGCTCATTCATCAGACACTGAAGGCCAGAGCTGATCCCGAGTCAGTGCTTCTCTTCTGAGGCTCTCTTCATGAAGTCTTAAAGCTGCACAGCTGAGACATCAGAAACATCTCTACATCAGAACATGCTGCTAAAAACAGCAGATCAGTTCAGAGCGTCAGCGAGGAAAACATCAGCACAATGAGTTTTCTGTCTTCCTGCACCGCTCAGTGTTTATATTTCAAAATCTGAAGTATAATCTAAAACAAAACACACTCACAGAAACAAGTCTTCCTCGCTTTTAAAAACATAAAATGATTTCTTAATCATTATACATCATCAGTGGATGTTCTTTTAAAGAAAACACATTATTGTTTACAGTTACAATTATATATCGTAAACTAACAAAATATTATTTTGAATATACAAAATATTAAAAATTGCATAGTAATTAAAACATTTAATATCCATTTTTGAAAACTATTTCATAATAAAAATTGCAATTGCCATTTACCACTAAATTTAGTTTTGATTTTGACTAATTAAACATTATTTTAATAATTTATATATTATTATAATATAATTTAATATAATAACAGTTATATATTATAGTAATATATGTTAAACATTTTATTAACAATAACAAACTTTAAGTACATTTCAAATTAACTAAAATTATATTAAGAATTTATATTAATATACTATGAATGTGAACTACTGGCAATGCAAAAAAAATACACATTAATGAGTTTTTAATGAGTTTTTTTTTTTAATTCAGTGTCTTTGTTTTATAAATAATATTATTATTATTTTTATAATGTGGTTATTGTGAATGATTCATCGGTGCAATGTTTTTCTTAAATTCATTTTGTTTACAGTTAAAATGACATCTTGTAAATTAAATCAACGATTAAAAATGCATATTAAATATTGAAATATATTTAATATGCATTTTAAAATAATTATTATATAGCTTTATCATGCCGTTACTGTGAATGATTCATCAGTGCGCGTTATTCGAAAGAAAGCACAGTTCAAATTAAACACTGTAAATAATACAATTATTAACAAACTGCATATTGAATATTAAAATATATTAAATATACTATAATAATTAGAGTTATTAGACAGTCAATGTAAATTTACTACTAAATTTAGTTTTGATTATGACAAATTAACATGAAAAAAAATATAATCAATGTATTAATACAATAATATATTAATATTTATAATAATTATTACATAATATTATTATTATATAAAAATAATAAAAAACATTATAATTTAAAGTGACTACTAAAACTGCAAAACAAATGGCATTGTAAAATGTTTGTGTAATTAGTGTTTTTTAATTAATTTTAATAACTTGTTTATAATTCATATTCTGATGGTATATCTGTTTATTTTAAACTTTCTTTAATAATATTACTTATTTCTTTATAATGTCACTATTGTGAATGATTCATCGGTGCATGTTTTTCTAAAGAAATTTTATTTTTGTTTACAATTAAACTTGCGTCTAGTAAATTAAATAAAATTATTATCAATTTCATATTAATCTATATTTAATAAAACAAAATAATAATTGCATATTAAAATTTGCAATAGCCAATATTTACCACTAAATGTAGTTTTGATTATGACAACTGAAACATTGTATTAATCATCAGTTGCACACACACACACACTCACACACACTCTCTCTCACACACACACACACACACTCTCTCACACACACACACACACACTCTCTCACACACACACACACACACTCTCTCACACACACACACACACACTCTCTCACACACACACACACACACTCTCTCACACACACACACACACACTCTCTCACACACACACACACACACTCTCTCACACACACACACACACACTCTCTCACACACACACACACACACTCTCTCACACACACACACACACACTCTCTCACACACACACACACACACTCTCTCACACACACACACACACACTCTCTCACACACACACACACACACTCTCTCACACACACACACACACACTCTCTCACACACACACACACACACTCTCTCACACACACACACACACACTCTCTCACACACACACACACACACTCTCTCACACACACACACACACACTCTCTCACACACACACACACACACTCTCTCACACACACACACACACACTCTCTCACACACACACACACACACTCTCTCACACACACACACACACACTCTCTCACACACACACACACACACTCTCTCACACACACACACACACACTCTCTCACACACACACACACACACTCTCTCACACACACACACACACACTCTCTCACACACACACACACACACTCTCTCACACACACACACACACACTCTCTCACACACACACACACACACTCTCTCACACACACACACACACACTCTCTCACACACACACACACACACTCTCTCACACACACACACACACACTCTCTCACACACACACACACACACTCTCTCACACACACACACACACACTCTCTCACACACACACACACACACTCTCTCACACACACACACACACACTCTCTCACACACACACACACACACTCTCTCACACACACACACACACACTCTCTCACACACACACACACACACTCTCTCACACACACACACACACACTCTCTCACACACACACACACACACTCTCTCACACACACACACACACACTCTCTCACACACACACACACACACTCTCTCACACACACACACACACACTCTCTCACACACACACACACACACTCTCTCACACACACACACACACACTCTCTCACACACACACACACACACTCTCTCACACACACACACACACACTCTCTCACACACACACACACACACTCTCTCACACACACACACACACACTCTCTCACACACACACACACACACTCTCTCACACACACACACACACACTCTCTCACACACACACACACACACTCTCTCACACACACACACACACACTCTCTCACACACACACACACACACTCTCTCACACACACACACACACACTCTCTCACACACACACACACACACTCTCTCACACACACACACACACACTCTCTCACACACACACACACACACTCTCTCACACACACACACACACACTCTCTCACACACACACACACACACTCTCTCACACACACACACACACACTCTCTCACACACACACACACACACTCTCTCACACACACACACACACACTCTCTCACACACACACACACACACTCTCTCACACACACACACACACACTCTCTCACACACACACACACACACTCTCTCACACACACACACACACACTCTCTCACACACACACACACACACTCTCTCACACACACACACACACACTCTCTCACACACACACACACACACTCTCTCACACACACACACACACACTCTCTCACACACACACACACACACTCTCTCACACACACACACACACACTCTCTCACACACACACACACACACTCTCTCACACACACACACACACACTCTCTCACACACACACACACACACTCTCTCACACACACACACACACACTCTCTCACACACACACACACACACTCTCTCACACACACACACACACACTCTCTCACACACACACACACACACTCTCTCACACACACACACACACACTCTCTCACACACACACACACACACTCTCTCACACACACACACACACACACACACACACACACAGATCTGAAGTACACCTGCGCCGCCGTGTCGGGGAGAAACACGCTCTGATGTTGAATGTTTGTTTGCTGCGTGTCCTTCAGTGAACTTGGGAAAGGCTGTTTTCAGAGACTCTGAATGTTTTATTGACGCGACTGTCAGCGTCTATAACGCCGTTTGGAAACAGGCAGCAGAGAGAAGCTGTGTCAGTCAGTTTGACCGGCACTCTTGTGACGAGATTTTGAATTAATTCCACTTTTTAATGAAGCATTAAAAGTCAACATGGGATCAAAAGAAGTTATTTAAATATATTTAAAAAAATAGATATCTTAAATATACACTACACATAAATATACACTATATATATATTGTATAATTATGTTTAGATATATTTATAATAAAGTATATGAAATGTATATTTACAACTTTTTAAAGTATTTAAATAGAAATGTTTTAATGTAATTTTTCAATTATATACAGTATATATATATATATATATAAAGTGTAAACATGTAATATAAATAAATAAAATGTAATATGTTTGTCGATGTAATGCAAATATTTCATCTTTTTTATTAAGTGTTTTACTTTTTATTTATACTTATATTATACTTATATGCAGTGGGTACAGAAAGTATTCAGACCCCCTTAAATTTTTCACTCTTTGTTATATTGCAGCCATTTGCTAAAATCATTTAAGTAAATTTTTTTCCTCATTAATGTACACACAGCACCCCATATTGACAGAAAAACACAGAATTGTTGACATTTTTGCAGATTTATTAAAAAAGAAAAACTGAAATATTAAAATTACTTTTTCTTTCTTGTATGTATATATAGACACACACACACACATTTTTTTACATGTATAAAATAATTATAAATATATCAACGCAGATAAACAAATAAAATACCACACCTTGTTATATTTTAGACATTTTGTTTTATTTTACTGCAATAAAAGAAGGTAACTGTACTGCAAATATTTAATTCTTTGTAGCAGGTGTTTTATTTTAAAATATTTATTTCAAATTTACATTATGATTTAATGAATTATTAGTTTTCACAAACTGAGGACACCCTGCTCTAAATGTCTGTCTTTTAAATTACAAAAAATAATATATATTTCTCATAAAACAATTTCACGCTGCTTTAAAGTTGCCAAAATCCACCACATTTAGTTTTTAGTTTTTAATTCATCAGTGCATATGATTCTAGATCAGCCATTCCCTTATTGTCAGTTTTTCTACAAAACTTACTGAAGTCCTTCTGAGATTTTAAGTCAATATTTCAATATTTGAACAACAAATGTGCATGTCCTCGGTTCTCTGATTTCAGTTTATGGTTAATAACATGCCACATTTGTGCTGCTGTAGAAAATGTATATCATATTAAATAGCGGGTTAACAAATGATTTTTAAAAAAATAAGTCTTATATTTTGACCGTTTCTAATTTAAAAAAATATTTATTTTCATTTGACATTTTTATGAACTAATGAATTATCTTTCCCAAACTCCGGAAACGCTGCTCTGAATGTGTGTCTCTGTAAATCTTGCATCAAAATGTAAAACTTTCTCCATCAAGCTCCGATTCTGAAGCATGACATCAGTTATAGTTAAGGAAAAACCGGTTCTGGTTTGAGTCTCACCATCCACGCGGTCACAAAATCACCCATCCATGTTCCTACTGCAGCCATCTTCATGAAGCTCTCGTTCCTGATGCCCATGTACTCCGTCACCGTGTGAGGCCTGTAGAGACACAGAGACGTACCGCTGAAACACCATGCTTGTCTTAACATCTCTCAACATTTCCCACGAAAGAAACTGGGTTTGTGGACATGCACCATTAAAATACCATGTTTTTAGACATGTCCCATGGTAATACCATGGTTGTTGAATATTTCTCATGTTTATACAATGTGCTTGAACATGTACCATGGTATTACCATGTTTGTGGACATGTCCCATAGTAATATGTTTTTTACCCCTAACATTTACCATGCCATGTTTTGGGCATGTACCATTGAAAAAACATGTTTTACACATGTATCATGGTATTACCATGTTTTTGGACATGTATCTTTGTATGTTTCTTTGGACATGTATACCAAAAAACAAACAAACAAAACATGGTATTACAATGGGCAAATATAAGATAAACATGGTAATACCATGTGATATGTCAAAAAAACATGATAATTAATGGTACATGTCCAAAAACATTGTATAAACATGAGAAATTCAACCATTACCATGGTAAAAGTTCAAAAAACATGGTAATACCATGGTACATGTTTTTAAAAAAACATTGAATTGCTGTTAATAGTCTTCATCGTCTGTTTGATTACGTCTTTAATTGATTTTTCCGTACATTTCTGCCATATGTACATAAACTGACAGTCACCACTAAATATTGTAGAAACTTAATTTGCTGTAAAGCTGCTTTGCAATGATTTGAATCGTGAAAAGCGCTGTACAAAGAAAATAGAATTACCATATCTGTCAACATGTCCCATGGCAATATCATAATTTTGAACAATTACCTTAGTAATACCATGTTTTTGAACATTTCCCATGTTAATGCCATGTTTATTGGACATGTCCCATGTTAATGCCATGTTTATTGGACATGTCCCATGTTAGAGACAGATGTTTTCTGTCACAGCTGATCGTTTCTTCAGCTCGATCTTCTCCAGAAGCTTTTATTTGACCTGCCATCTGTTTCAGTGGCGCTACAGGACAGGCTAACATCATCAGCAACACTTCAGAGGAGCGACTGGCTTCCAGAAAATGACCCAACGCAAATAAAAGCATGCCTCAGTAGTGACAGCGAGCGAATGTAATCTCCTTTACGCAGCTTTTATGCCGTCAGAAGTGTTTACAGGCATTGAACAGGTACAAACTCGTTAATCTGCTTACGCACGTCGCTTTGTGGATTACAGACGGCAGGACATGCAGAACAAGGCCAAGTTGACTGCACACAAATGTCAGAGCGAGCGGATCGTCGCCCCCCGGCTCTTTGGTCTTGTGTTACGGATAACAACAGCATTATCCTGTAAATGAGCTTTCATCCTCATTAGTACGTCCGATCTGTAAAGCAAACGAGTGCTTGATCCGCGTGACCCGCGTGAGACTGAATCTGTATTCCACCTGTTATGGCCTGTCGTTAGAGCGCATGTCCAGAGCGCACCTTATCAGCTTCTCCCGTGCACCGATTAAACCACTTTGATTAGAAGGAAGATTTATTGGCGCATTAAGTCAGTTTCAAACAGCCTGCGGTCATGAGCACGGCCAGCCGCCGGAGCCGTTCACCAAGGGCAGTGAGCCGATCGATAATACGGGAGCCATCCGATACAGTCCAGCGCCTCAGACGCTCACGGCTGTGTTAGTATGGAGCACAGTCACTGGTGTAGGTTGGTGCTGTCTTACAGTATTACAGGCAGAGCCACAGTGAGCACGCACACACACACACACACACACACACACACACACACTCTCTCTCACTCCCTCACTCTCACACACGCACACACACACACACACACACTCTCACACTCTCTCACTCACACACACATTCACACACTCACGCACACTCACACTCACTCACGCACACTCTCATGCACACTCGCACACACACTCACTCACACACACACTCACACTCACAAACTCACGCACACACTCATTCACGCACACATTGACTCACTCACACGCACACTCACACTCACTCACGCACACTCGCACACACTCACACGCACTTACACTCACTCCCACTCAAGCACACACACGCACTCAAACTCACACTCAAGCACACACTCACTCACACTCAAGCACACACACACTCACACACACACACACACACACAGCTGCTCTCTCTCTCTCTCTGATTAGTGTCTCAGCTCTTCATTTATTCATTCTGGCTGTAATTGTAATGCAGTACAGCTGGGTGACCTAACGAAGGGAAACTAAGGCACATCAGCAGCACTAATGACATGCCAACACTCAGATATTTCTTTCTGACATGTTCCTTCATATCACCATGTTTTGTGGATACATGCAATTGAAACACCATGTTTTTTTAACATATACCATGGACTTGCCACATTTTTGTACATGTCCCACCATGGTCATATCTTTTTTTGACCATTTCCTATAGTAATGTCATTTTTATTTTAAATTCAGCATTGTAATAGCATGTTTTTGAAAATGCATCACAGTTTTAACTTTGTCTTTTGGGCATGTACCATATAAATGCCATTTTTAAAACATTTACTACCATGGGTTGTTTTTTTACATTTCCTATGGTAATATGATTTTTAAAACTATTTCTCATGTAATACCACATTTTATGAACATACACCCTGGTATTACCATGTTTTTGGACATATCCCACAGTAACAGGTTTTTTTTCTTCTGAAGATTTCCCATGGAAATAAAATGCAAAATAGTATTACAGTGTTTTTTGGACACATACAATTGAAATACCATGTTTTTCCAAATAATTACCATGATAATATCATGTTTTTTAACATTTCCTATGCTAACACCATGATTTTGGAAATGCACAATTTATAAATTTTCCGCGATAAGACCATATTTTTTTACACCCAATGTTAATGCCATGTTTTTTTCTGGACATGTACTATTAAAATACCATGTTTTTGAACATATATTCATTCAGTACCAAGTCAGGGTTACCCTATAACCCAAGTTACTTATCAAAGTATCTGATACCAGTGTACCACAGTACTGATATAAACATCACAAGATCAAAATATGTGAGATCAATGAATCAATATTACATATGCATGTATTTTTCCTCAGATTATTGTTAGCAGATTGATTATTGATTCTAAGCACATGTATCCAAATAAGAGTTCAACAGCTTGCTTGTACACTTCTGGTTTAACCGAAGGATTCCCCAGAGCCTCTTCTGTTAATTATAGTTCTAGATCAGCCCAGTTTATGAAAAATGAAACGCGCTGGTAAAAAATGAGGTCACATATGCTGCACGAGTTGATTCGAATCCACAAAACCAGACGTTACTGACGGAAAGGAGCCAGTAACGTCCAGGGTTCCTCTCTCTCTCTCTCTCTCTCTCTCTCTCTCTCTCTCTGCCGTGAGATTAATACGAGCAGCTGCTAACGAGCAGTGTTGAGTGAAGTTTCTTTTAAAAGTAATGCATTACAATATAGCGTTATTTCCTAAAAAAGAAACTAATTACGTTACTTAGTTACTTTTGATTGAAAGTAATGCGTTACGTTACTTTTGCGTGACTTTTTAAATCTGGGCTGGGCTTGCTTGTTCGCTTTTAATATAAAAAGTTATATTTTTGGCAAATATAAAAGCCCTTTCGCACCAGAAGCCTGAGGCTGAAGGAAATGTAAATCACGTCTGTACAGAAGAACACAGAAGAAGAAAGTTCAACACTCTTCTGCAATAAAAAAGAAGAAATGTTAGTTTATCTTGTGTAAATTAGTGCTTATTAGAATTGGATCACCGAAGGTCAGCAGCAAATTGGTTAATAAAATGTGATTTGAAGCTTTGCGTCATATTCTGAGTTGCTTTTAACTGTTTTTATTAATTTTGAGGAAAACTAAATCTGTGTGTGAGTGAGATGAATTAAAGCATTTATTCTAGAACTACAGTAACATCTGATTTCTCTCAGCATGAGACAGGAGAGCTGTCAAACAATACATGTGGAAACAAAGTATCTGGCGTTACTTATTTGAAAAAGTAACCGATATTTTCTTGCTGTGCTCATTTTTGTCATTTTAAATCAGATTCAGTGTTATTTTAGTATAACTGATTTACTATTCTAGTTTTTTTGTTGATATTATATTTTGTTTTCATTTAATTTTGTTGTTTTTGTAATTCGTTTTTTTTATTATATTTATTATTTTGTATCTATTTTAGTTTATTTAGTTCTAGTTATTTTAGTATATCAAGATATATTACATGAAAATGAGAAATGTCAGTTTTATATGTATGTATATTAATTTTATTTATTGGTTTTAGTTTCTTTAGTTTTAGTTATTTCTGTAGCTCAAGATTAGGCCTGCAATTACATTTTTAAAATCTAAATAATTACATGATGTGCTGATTAATTTATCTAATTAATCTCTAATTAATCGCACATTAATTCTGGCTGAGAAATTACCCCACAAAAGCTTTAGAAATAAATATTTTTATTAAACATTGCAGAAATAATGATAGTGAGTATTGATTTTAAAAAATAATATTGAAATATGAAATGGTTAAAACATTTTTTACTAAATTAAAATAAATAAAATATTACAAAATTAAATAAAGTAAATAAATTTTTTTTTTAAATATATAATTATAATTAAGTGAAAATGAAAAATGGATTAAAATACCTTTCATTTAAAAAACTTTTTTTGCAGTTAATTATTTAAGTTCAAGTAACAACAATGCTTTATTGTTTAGTTAATAAATAGTAACAACCCTGATCATATATAATAACTGGACTTCTTCATTTAGTACACGCAAACCCAGCCCCTTTCTCATAAACTCCACCCCCTTTCTTACATCTCAACATCCAATCAAAAATGAATGCACAGAACAAAGTCTCCACCCTATTTATTTTTGATAGCCTGACGTACGACACAATACAGAAAAAAAGATTTAAAAGTTAATAAAAAAACATTTATTATCATTAAATATCCTGTTTTACTCTGAAATGCATCATAAACAGGTTGCCAAGTTTCCATATTGTGCATTTCGTGATTAAAACA